GAAGGAAGGAAGGAAGGAAGGAAGGAAGGAAGGAAGGAAGGGAGGAAGGAAGGAAAAAAGAAGAGCAATAGCACTTAGGGTTAACACCACTTCACTGTGCTTTACAGACAGACAGACAGATAAACAGTAGAGCAATAACAGTGGGACTTATATTCCGCTTCACAGCCCCCTCTCAGCGGTTTACAGAGTCAGCCTCCTGCCCCCAACCATCTGGGTCCTCATTTGACCCACCTCAGAAAGATAGAAAGGCTGAGTCAACCTGGAGCCTGGTGAGGTTCGACTTGCCAAATTGCAAGCATCCGGCAGGAAGCAGAAGCAGCCTTCAGTCCTGCACTCTAACCACTGCGCCACCGTGGCTCACCCTGTGATGCTCCTGTCTTGCGCAGCCTCCTGCTGTGCTCCTGTTTCTTCGACTCTTTACATGCCCTTCTCTCTTCTCCTCCAGAGCCAGCGGTATCGAAGCAACCATGACTTGAGCGTCAGTGCCTACGACGGTGACCCTCAGCCAGCCTCACTCCGTGCAGACTATACCTCCGGCGGGTACTACATCAACCAGCCACCTTTGAACAATTACAACTCTGTAGCCCAAATTCCTTGGGCAGGTGTAGAGCAAGGTATTTGTTTTTTTTTTAAAAAAACCCACTGTAGTAGTGCTGGAGGGGACTGGCAATGTCACCTGATTTTGTAGTTTATCTGCAGTTTATAGTTATGCGCTCTTCCTGGCGTAGGGAGAGTTCTCAACTTAAAATCACAAATCTTAGCATCAGAATTTCTGTTCAGAGGGTCGCATCTGATTTTGCTATCTTTTTGACATGGTTCACTGCAGCTCTTAAGCAAATCATACGGCCATCGAGCAAATCCAGCTACCCCCATTTACTCTGAAGCCCAGGGGGAAGGTTGCAAGTGACCCTGGAGCGGGGATATTGCAACTGTTGTCAATACACAATGGTTGCCAAGCACCATTTAGGTTGCCAAGCAGCTACATTTTTTTATCCCCTGCCTTGGGATACTGCATCGGTTGTACATTGTGAGGACTGGTTGGAACTGTGACCAGCCATTAAACAAATGGTTGTAACCTGAGGACAACGTGCATTGTAAGAATGTGGCATGGTCTGTGTGTGTGTGGTTTTTTTTCTGTGATTCTTGAAAAGCTTCCATGGCACACGGATGCCCCTAACGGTAACCCAGGACTCTTAAGGCAGCAATTCTCAAGCCCTACAGCTTTAAGACCTGCAGAGTTCAACTCCCCAAATACCTGTAAGGATCCAGATTGTTGGGGGCAAGAGGCTGCTTAGAGAGGGCTGCAAAGCCCTGTGAAGCGGTATATAAGTCTAAGTGCTAATTCTATCTATCTCTGTGTCTGTCTGTCTGTCTTTCTGTCTGTCTTTCTGTCTGCCTGTCTCTGTCTCTCTGTCTCTGTCTCTCTCTCTCTCTCTCTCTCTCTCTCTCTCTCTCTTTCTCTCTCTATCGTGAAAATGCAGTATTGCAGGCTAAGTCTGCCCACTGCCAACAGTTCGATCCTGCCCAGCTCAAGGTTGACTCAGCCTTCCAGCCTTCCGAAGTTGCTAAATTAGGACCCAGATTGTTGGGGGCAAGAGGCTGACTCTGTAAAGTGCTTAGAGAGGGCTGCAGAGCACTATAAAGCGGTATATAAGTGCTGTTGCTTTATGGGATCATAGAAGGGATGTTGACGATCGCTAGTTTTTAAGAATTGGACACTTTTTAAAAATCTAAATCTTACTTTATCTTACTTTGGGTTGGATTCTTTCCTTTTTTTCCCCTCTATTTTTTTTTCTTTCCTGCTTACTTCTTATTCATGTTTTTGAGATTTAATAAAACCATATTTTTTTAAAAAAAAAAAGGACAAGAGAGGTCGTTCTTTATTCATCAGCTTCCCCAGGATGGAAAGGGAAATTATAGGGGGAGATTGAATGAAATCTGGATATGGAGGTTGTTCCTTTCAGCCACTTCCCGTCCGGCTAGGTTTTCATACCCTTGTTGTCTTCGCTTCTGACTTGGCAACTCCTAAGACTGCAACTCCCACAATTCCCCAGGTGGCACGGTACATTTTAAAGCCACAGATATTGAGAAGTGCAGCTCTGAGGGTTGTATGGTTTCTTGTTCTCCTTTGAAGAACATTTTGCAGAATTGGTTCTAGCTTAGCTTCTCCAGCAAGAAGTGCAAGCAAAATTGCAAATATGCTGGGGAATCCATGCTGGGCTGGTGGGGAAAGCGTGATGCTTCGGTAGCCCAGTTTGCTTTCTGGTTTCTTCCAGGTGCTGGAGGTTAGCACAAACTAACTGGAAGCCATTTTTTGTTCTTGGAAGCTTTGAGGCTACCACATTCAGTGCCTGGGAATTTGAGAGGAGGGATTTTATAGTGGGGTAGAAGAGTAGACTCAACAACATTCTTTCTCAGAGAGTCAAGGACAAGTTACTCTGCACCTGGAGAGGAGTATCTGGAGGAAGGTCTCCAGTTGGGATGAAGATTTGATTGGGCCGTGTGATGGACTGATGGGTGCAGGGGAAGGACCTTGGATTTCTTCATTCTGCTAAACAAATAATTCCCTCAACACTGTCCAACTATTTATTAAGTCTGTACTACTATTACTGTTAATCTTCTCACCACTCCTTCTCACCCATCCCCTCCCACTTGGGGCTGTAGGACTGTAACTTTGTCGCTTGTATCCTTACGATTTATATTGACTGTTTCCTAGTATGATTCGATTGCTTATAGTTTACTTTACTTTATTGTCATTGCACCTCGTACAACGAACTCTTCAGTGCACCTCATGACCATGAAAATAAACACAAACACATATCCTTCACACTCCAAACATTGAACCGAAACCCCCCCAACACGGCACTATACAGTGGAATTCAACAGAGCTCCTGCCCTGGGATAGACGCTGTTTTTCAGCCTATTTGTGTTTGTTTTTATTATCCTGTACCGTCTGCCGGATGGTCATAGTTCAAAAAGAGGCTGCCCAGGATGAGATGGATCTTTAAGGATGTTTTGAACTTTCTTAAGGCAGCGGGAGCTCTAAAGCTCTTCCAAAGAGGGGAGAGGGCAACCCATGATCCTCTGGGCAATGATGTTCACCCTCTGGAGCGCTGCCCTATCTGCCACTGTGCAAGTGGCAAACCATATACAGGTGCAGTAAGTTAAGATACTCTCTATGGTGCATATTGTACCTTATGACTATCATTAAGTGTTGTACCTGATGATTCTTGACAAATGTATCTTTCCTTTTATGTCCAATCACACTTGGCCAATAAAGAATTCCATTTTTCTTTTGGGAAGGGAAAACCCGGAATTCTCAGATTCAGGTTTTTCCAGAGGTGCCAACATGACAACTCTTAATGAAAAGGAACTTTGAGGAATTGTTTCTCTTGGAGTTTATCGGTTTGGAGTTGGTTAGTTGGAACACTGACCTTGGTAATGTGGTCTTACCTTGGTCTTATGTTTGAAGTCTCTTTCTACTCTCTTGTTTCTTTCTCGGCTATAGTCCCTTCCAGGCCTTTGACTCCTGAAAAGTATTCTGTACCCCACGTGTGTGCAAAATTTGGGCCAGGGGGTCAACTGATAAAGGTGCTACCCAACGTCCCGTCCGAAGGCCAGCCAGCCTTGGTCGAGATCCACAGCATGGAGGTGAGTGAGGAGCCAGCGAGATGGCAAGCACCCGCTTAATGTTTAGCTACAGGTAGCCTTCGAGGTACGGCCACCGTTAAATGCCCAATTTACGTGACCCAGCCAAGTATTTGTTAAGTGAGCTTCACCACATTTCCTGCGACAGTTGTTAAGTGGATCATTGCAGTTGTTAAGTGAGTCTGAACTTTGCTCGCAAAAGGGGATCACATGACCCCAGGAGGCTGCAACCGTCATAAGCATGAACCAGTTCCCAGGCATGTGAATTTTGGTCACGTGACCACGGGATTGCTGCAACGGCCATAAAGTGTGAAAAACGGCCATCGGTCGCGTTTTCCAGTGCCGTTGTAATTTGGAACAGTCACTAAATGGACTGTTGCGAGTCGAGGACAACTTGTGTTTGGAAACGCTTGAAGCACACACACAAAAAAAACCCCACCTTCCCAAAAGGCTTGAAGCAGCCCATTTTTGTATTCTTTGGTTTTGAATTCTGAACAGCTACCATGCAGAACATTTTGCATGCTCCTAAAATTCTTTCAGAAGAGGGAATAGCCCCGTAGAGATAGACCAGGAAATGAACTCCACAGAAAGGTTGAAAGTCTTTTCGTCAAGATTGACTCGCAATACCAAAATCTCACCCTCTGATTGTGCTTTTCACTGATCGAGGGAGGGATGTGCCCAAGCTGCCTCCGAACATTATACCTGCTTTCTCACCCATGGTGATGCGGTGGATAGAATGCAGAATTGCAGGCTAACTGCCAGGAGTTTGATCCTGATCGGCTCGGGGTTGACCCAGCCTTCCGTCCTTCCGAGGTCGGTAAAATGAGGACCCAGATTCTTGGGGGCAAGAGGCTGACTATAAACCGCTCAGAGTGTGGTGAAGCACTTTAAAGTGGTAAATCTAAGTACTTTTGCTATTGCTTGTCATGTCCTTCTTGGACTCTGAGGGAGAGGAGGAACAGCTGAGTGGAGGTGTGGCTCCAGAGGTTGTGGAGGAGGCTGGGGAAGGACAAAGGCTGGGCAGTTTGGACCCAAGCCCATCCCCTCTCCATCGTAGGGCATGCAGGGAGGAATGGAGAAGGAAACAACTTGGCTCGTGAGAGAGGAAGCGGCCATGATCCCCATCGTTGGTTGCAGCTGGGGAGAATAGTATATAAGAGAGACGATTACAACACAGTGTTGCTAGAAGCAAAGCATGTTTTATTTTGGGCTGAAGTTATCTTGGTTGGCATCCTTCCAACAGACTGTGCCTTGTTATCTCCTTGAAGTTGGTAATTACTTATCCTGGTCCGTTGTGGAAATTCCTTCATTGTAGTTTGCTTTGGTTTATTATTTCACCTTCATTTGCTCATTTAAGTTTGGACTGTATTGCTTTCTTTTGAAGACTATTTTTGAATAAGTTTAATCTCCCACTGAGAATTATTGAACAGTGGGGCCAAGTAGCATTAAAGGACATTTATTTACATTTTGGATTTTATTACGTTTGTATTACACTCCGGGTCATCACATTGCTATTCTCCGCACTTAAGAAAGGGCAAAAGGCCTGGAGCAACACTTGCTGCCTATCTTCACCCAGGTTGTCTTCTCAGCTCTCCACGGAACATTCTCAAGTTCATAGTTACTCGCCCTTTGTCTTTAAACATTAAGCATAGGGTGCCCCCATGCCACTTTGTGGGTCTCGGAGGTGAGATCTGTGGCCTCTTCAAGGCAGCATCTCGCCCAGGGAGGAGGACTCGTCCCCAGGTTGCATTGCTGATTCTTGTCTCTTCACAGATGGTCATGCAACACTCTTCGGAGCAAGAGGAGATGAGAGCTTTTCCCGGCCCTCTCACCAAGTAAGTTCCACCCCGAGGCTTTTAAGGAACGGAACGGGATGCGTTTCTGTTCTGGTGTAGTTCACGGATTACCTCTTCAGCTCTTGATAACGCTCGGAGGCAGGGAAATCTAGGGGCAGGCTATTTGTTTCCGTGATACTCCCAACGGATTTTATCCTAGGAGCCTTGTTTCCCCTTCTCTACACCTTTTCAGTTGTCCTTACAATAGTGCAGCTGTTGTGGAGGATGATATTAGTACTGAAAGTGAAGGTGTGAAAGCTTTGGGTCATCCCGTGGGTCTCCTAAGGCAGTGGTCGGCAACTGGTGGGCCAAGGACCACTGGTGGGCCATGAGAAAATTTTGGTGGGCCGCAGAGAAATG